CTGTAAGAACACCCTGTGCTTGTTGTCTCCCTGCACCTGCTCTGAACATGCTGCCTCTCTGCACATGTGAATGTTGCCTCTCTCTCCACAAGAGTGCCATTTGCTTTGCATCTGTATGCCTCCCTCCCATTCCCTCTCCGCCATCTCCCTTTCAGATTGCTCTTGACCCCTGGCCCTGCTTTTCTGATAACTGTCAACCTAGGTTGCTTGTAGCCCCTCATGACTTCCCATTCATCGCTTTGGTTCTTTCTTTTTCTCGCATCCCTTGCAGTCTGCTCAACAGCAACCTCTTATCAGGCACCATACCCAGCCAAATCAGCAATCTGTCACTCCTTACACAACTGTGCGCCTCTGGCACCATACCTTTTTTTTTTTTTTTTTTTTTTTTTTAACGTTTCAAAAGTCCACCCAGAACTGTATGGCACTGGTACTGTACTTGCTGGCTAGAGGCCACTTCTCATTCTTGTCCGCTGCCAGCAAGCAAGCAACTTGCGTCCATGCTGTTTGTTGGACTGATGTTGACCTCTCATAACCTTGGTTGGCTGTCCGCTGTTGGCTCAGTCATATTTAACAACTGACCTTTCGATTGGACCAAAGTCGTCCACATGCGGCCTGCTCCGTACCACTCCCTTTACCACGCTACTCACCAACCCTTACCCCACAGCTCCAGTCCCGTTCCAACCCTTGTTGCATCTTCTCTGCGTCCCTCTGCAACCAGACAATTGAGGAACAACCAGTTGACGGGTTCCCTTCCCAGTGACATCAGCCTCATGAAATCGATTCAGTTCCTGTGTGTAGTGCCTGTAGGAGCTACAGGCTTGACTCAAAACACAGAATTGCATCAGCCTCCCATAGCAGGAGTTGTTTGCTTGGAACATCATCAAATCTATCTGTCTCTAAGTGTTTCCTTACCTGCACCAAGTCACATCACATTACAGCAAGGTGTTTAGAGGCTGTGTTTAGCATGTATGGTGTTTCATGTTTGCTACCATCAATATGCTCCTTGAATTAATAACTGGACCACGCCATCAATAAACCATGCCACCCAATTCTTCCACATCAGGTGTCCATTTATTATGCACCAAACGACGATGCCTCTCTTGCACTACTGATGCCATTCAGGTCCTTATACAACAACTGCCTCTCAGGCACCATTCCTAACTTGAGCACCCTCACCAATCTCTACGCTCTGTGAGCTCGCTCGCTATTGTGTCCTTATGCCATGCCACGCCATGCCGTGCCATGCGATGCCATCCAATGCCAGGCGATTTAATGCCATGCAATGCCATGCCGCGCCACTTCCACTGATCATAGCATTGTCAGCATCAAATACCTTTCCAGGCTCCAGGCTCCAGCATCAAATACTGCTCTGGCTCTTCGCCTTTGCACACTCCTGCCTTTCCACCCCCACTACCCCCAAGACCCCTCCTCCCCCCCTCCTCCTTTCTTTTGCTGTATGACGCAAACACAGAATCAACACTACTCCCTCATTACCTCCGTCACTCCCTCTCTCCCTTCCGCCCTACTCCACCACTCCCTCTCTTTCTTCCTCCCTACTCCACCAATCCCTCCCTCTCTCTCTCTCTCTCTCTCTCTCTCTCTCTCTCTCTCTCTCTCTCTCTCTCTCCCCCTCCCTCCCTCTCTTTCCCCCACTGCCTCCCTCCGTCCTCTCCTCCCTCCCTTCCTCCCTCTCTCCCTCCCTCCCTCTCTTCATCTTTCCCCTCTCCCTCCCTCTCTCTCTCCCTCCTCCTCTCCCAACCCATCCCCTGTGTTTCCCCTCAGAGATCTCAGTTACAACCAGTTCTCAGGGACCATTTCTTTGCAAATTTCCAAACTAGCAGGGCTGCGCTTCTTGTAAGCAACTCCCCAACTGCACTCCCATCGCCCCCACTGCATGCCATCACTTTCCTCTATCGATGCTGCTCCCTCCCCTCCATTCACTGCTGTGGTGACCCTCAAACGCCCGTGTGCGTTGTCAATGCAGGTCGGTAGGCCATAATTCCCTTTCTGGGTCGCTTCCCAGTGAATTGTCTGCAATGACAAGCATCATGGAATTGTGAGTCGCTCCATTATGTGTTCTGGAGGCAGAATAGAGAGCTTACATGAGCAATCGAGTCAAGGCTTCACTCGCATTTTGCCTCCCAAATCTGGCATGTTTCTGCCAGATCAATGCAGATTTGGCAGTAGCATGGATGATGCAGGTGGCGAAACCACCTCTTAGGGGGGTGAGGAGGTAGGTTGAGTGAGGATGGGGGTGGGGGGGGAGGCGTGGTGAGGGTGAGGGTAATAGGGTTGAGCAAAAAAACGAACACCTGTTCGGTTCGCCTCGATTTTTTGGCTTAAAGTGTTCGCCCGAACACGTTCGTGTTCGGGCCGCTGCTGCAATTTGCCCCGCGATGAACACGAACGTGTTCGAGGTTCGCCCGAACACGCCTTCACAGGCGAACGGCGAACACCATTCTTTGCTCAAAGTGTTCGCCGAACCGAACATTGTTCGGTTCGGCAAACGGCGGTGTTCGTGCAGGGGCGAACACGAACACGTTTGTGTTCGCCTTGCTCAACCCTCAGGGTATCTCAGGATTCAAGTTTTACTCGACTCCATTCGGGTAACAAGAGATCGTCCATGTGGTTGTTTTAAGCGTTATCCACGATTGGAAAATCTTGATTCGACAAAAAGTTGACTTAAGATAGAGTTAAGCAAAAACAAGTCAAGTTTTGCCAGACTCGTAAACTGCTCAATGGTAGAACCCTTCTTGTGTTACTCACGCATCTACTGATGGCCTGGCTTGCAATGCAGGTCTGTGGCCAACAACCGCCTCTCAGGCACCATTTCTTCTGTCTTGACCATGCTCACCGGTCTCACCTCTCTGTAAGCTCGCGTCCATGAGATGCCATGCCATGCCATGCCATACCCTGCCCTGCATGCCACACGCCATGCCACGCCATGCCGAGCCATGCCATGCCATCCCATCCCATGCCATGCCAGGCCAATGCCATGCCATGACGTGCCATCCCATCCCATGCCATGCCATGCCATGCCATGTCCTGCCATGCCATGCCCTGCCCTGCCGTGCCATGCATGCCATGCCATTCCATGCCATGCTGTGCCATGACATGCCATGCGATGCTACACCATGCCATGCCATGCCATGCCGGGCCATGCCATGCCGTGCCATGCCGTGCTGTGCCATGCCACGCCATGCCACGTGATGCCATTCCATGCGATGCCACGCCATACCATGCAGTGAATGCATGCCATGGCCGCGATTACTACACCATACAAACCATGTTCTCGAGCTTGTAACTCCTTCCCTCCACCTCTCCCTCTTCTCTGCAGCACCACTTGTCTCCATCTGCCCCCTTGTTCCCCAACCCCTTACCAGCTCATACCCTGTTGCTTCTCCTCCTTGTCAGCATTTCTGAGCAACCAATAATTTGCATCCCGAGGGACTTAGAGCTCCAGACCACCACGTCGGCTCCTCGCTTTTGCAGCTCCTCTTACTCGAGATAGATGCATTTCTGTCCGATGGCTCAAAGGCAGGCTTCTCACTTCATCCCTCCCTCCCTCCCTCCCTCCCTCCCTCCCTCCTTCTGTCCCTCCTTCTCTTTCCTTCTCTCTGTGTCGTGCCCCTGTCAACATCAGAGATCTCTCCAACAACCAGTTCACGGGAACAATTCCCTTGGGACTTTCAACCATAACAACGTTGCGCTCTATGTAAGCTCTCACCTACTGCACACCATCGCTTGCCTCCATCCATACTACTCTCTCCGTAGCACCTGCATGCATGCACTGCCGTGCTGACCCTCACTTGCCCGTGTGTGCTGGCAATGCAGGTAGGCAGGTACGTAGACATGAGAAAACTGGAACACGAACGTGTTTGGTTCAGACATGTTCGGTTTGACCCGAACACGTTCAGCAAAGAGTGATGTTCGCGTTCTCGAGCACAATCATGTTCGGGGCGAACATGATTGTGTTCCCAGTATTATGCCCATTTGGTTACATTCACACCATACTGGATGTTGAATTTCAAATTTCCCGCTGGATGGGTTACTCCAATTGGGCTTGTGGGGATCGAGGGAATTAGAAACCAGAATGCTGTGAACCAAAGGCCAACATTGTTGTCCCCCATCACTTGCGGATGGGGCCTGGGGCGACCCAAACCAAAAATGGATGGGGTATCTTGAGCAAAGTGTACACTCAAAACTGCGTGCAACAATTGTGCGACTAGAATGGAGAAATGCTGCATCTAACAAGGCAGAGCAGAGAGTCAGAGCAGAGAAGCAGAGCATTGCCTGCAGAGCGGCTTTGGAAGATCCGGTAGCCCATGTCTTAGTCTCCCTCTCCCAGGCTATCCATTTTTCGCAAATGTTTCCTCTCTCTCCCTCCCTCTCCTATTCTCGATCTTCCTTTCCAACTCTCCTCCCACCTTTGCTTCCTCCCATCCCCTCTATACTCGTATGCTTCCCCAGGTCCTTCTCACGCACTCATACGTTCTTCCTCCTCCCCTTACCCCCTCTGAACAAAACTTTGCTGCCGTCCCCCCCCCTCTCAAACGACCCTCTTTGATACAACTAGGTCACTCTCCGTCCCCTTAACCTCCTTCTCCACCTCCTCACTCCTTTCCCCCTCCATGTTTTCTCGTGTTTGCGTGCCACAGGGCTTTGGCGAACAACCAGCTGACTGGCGATATCAACCAGGCTTTTGCCGTCACCTCTCTCTATACGTTGTGCGCCCGCCATTCCTTTTGCTCCATTCACATACCAGTCTCACTATGTGCTGTGCTGTTCGTAGTCCAGCCGACAGCCGGATCAGCCATTCGAGCACCCTGCCCACTTTCGTTATAGCCGTCAAGTTGCTTGCATCCTGTTTCTTTGTTTTTATATATTTCCGTTTGGCTTTTTTTTTTAGGAGTACCTTGCAAGGTCGAGTCCACGTCCATTCACGTCACATCTACAGGCCACTCCACCCCTCACTGAATAACCTGGTGAAGGACCACCAC